TGTGTGTGTGTGTGTGTGTGTGTGTGTGTTTCAGTGGGAACAGGCTAAACTGAATGAAGATCAGTTACATTCCTCACATTTAATACAGATTCAGGAATGATTACCTGATAAAGCAGTATAATCAATGTCACCATTATCAGGAAGGTGCTTCTCATTTTTTAAATTGTCCATCCTCATCTGCCTTCGCCCCTACTAAAGGAAAGAAAGCAGGGTGCTCTGCAGATACAATACGTGGGCTGTGTGTAAAATATGTTTTGCTCACGTTCATGTCACTTCAAGAAATCTGTTAAATGTTGTTGGAACTTTAATCAGAAAATTCCTAATAAATATTACTAAAGCAATATGCATGCACTTTTTAAGAATTTTGAAAAATGAATGGTTTATTGAAACACTTTAATAAGTTCAAGTTAATGTATCTTATTAGATATAATAATAATATTATAATAGGGAAGCATCAAACAGGCTACTGAGAAGTGCACATGCAGAACCAAAATGGTCGTAAACCAATCGGTACACATTTTCAAACTACAATTTTTAAATAAATTTACTAAAATAATGAAGGCCCAACCCCTAATCCAAGCCAAAACTCAACAATGTCTCAATGTCACCAGGCTATCTGGGAAATCATCTACATCTTGCACAGCGTACAGGTGAGTATGTTTTCAGAATTGTTTTGTCATTTTTGGGTGAACATTTTCTTTAAAAAGAACAGTTCGACCAAAACACACACACACACACACACACACACACACACACATATATATATATATATATATATAAAGTCAAGAAACAAAATAAGCATTGTATCTGTCTCTTTCAGAGTGAGCTTAATTTTAAATGCAACATAATCTTATTTAATCCGCCAACAAACCTCTAATGCACATCATGCTTACACTGATTTCAACAGTTGCAGCTACTGAATGACAAAGTAAAGTCTACAGTATTTCAGAATGATCCAAATAAAGGAAAACAGAGTGTTTGGGGATTTCTGAACCGATTTAAAGTGTTGAACGCTTGAAGACACATTTGCCAGCGGGGATTACGACATGTGACATGTTATTTGCCAAGAACGTTTAATCATACCTTTGCAGTTCTTTGAGGTGTCCTATTGGTTTACATGGCATGTCCAACTGTGGCTTAAAGCCTTTCTGAAAGCGTTGAAATGCCAGTGAAACATTTTAAAATTCAACCACGCATGACAAGCAGAAAACCAGTCCTGAGCTCTCTGTGGTTAATAATATCTGCATATGAGATATGCTATTAATACTGATGTGAATCTTCATTATATGCATTACATTAAATGCAATTACTGTCATTTATATCTGCAGCTGCTTTAATTTCCTTCTGTGCACATGTATGTATGCGTGGGTGGGTGGGTGTATGCCTGTGAGAATAATTTTAAAATAATATTTTGTAGAGTATATTACATAAACCCTTCTTCTAATCTGACTTTGACCTAAAATCAGAAAGGGAAACATATGCCCCAGCGTGTCTGAGCTCATGTATTATGACTTTCTGTTGCTATCTAGGGCTCATTTCACAAGATTTAACACAATATAAATATCTTCATAAATGTCTGAGTTGACACCCTCACAATGGAAAACAAAAGTGTAATCCGTGCAATAATCTCATAAACAACACTGATAAAAATTAGTTTTATACACACCAATTCAAGTAATAAAAAACACATATTTATTTGTTTTTGTTTGTTTGTTTAAGAAATTAATACTTTTAATCAGCAAAGACACACATTAATGAATTTCAATTCATTAAACCTAAAAAAAAAATGCATCACAGTTTCCAATAAACTGTTAAGCATTACAACACTGGTAAGAAATGTGAGAACAGGGGTAATGATGCTGAAAATTCAGTTTTGCATCAAAAGAATAAATTACATTTTAAAATATAATACAATAGAAAACAGTTTTTTTGTAATAATATTTCACAATATTAAAATTTTTACTGTATTTTTTTTGGCAAATAAATGCAGACATGGTGAGCAGAAAAGAACGGTAGTGTGTGTTATATATGTATAAGGCATAACAGTTAAATCAACCAATTTTGACATTATTCATCTTTAATATAATTTTGAGAACTCTGAGATATTAGACATAGATACGGAGATACGGTGTTATGATACAGTTGTCTGCTTGGACGTCACTTCATGGAAGTGAAGAATCTTGTCATTGCGGTCAGTGCAATGAATGTTGATAGTTTGAGTCTGTTCTCAGCCAACAGACTGAGATGCACTGCTGGGCTTTTTCTTCTCAGACATGTCCTTCAAATCTGTAAAAAGAAGGAAAAACATTGTTTCCAAATGTGACAAAACATCTATAAGTGTCGACCAAAATCAGTGTGGGAAAGTCTGAAATATAAACATTCCCGTCTGGTTTACCGAAATTAGGCTTTATCTCTGTTTCATGAAAAAAGTTTTTTGGCTGCACTACTTTGAAAATGATTTAAAAATAAAAATCCATTTTCTGTGAGAAGCTTAGAAGTGGAGATGCATGCTGGTGAGTGGGATAATGTGTCTGGTGTTTCCGATGGCTGTGATATGTTGTCCTGGCTGTTTTCCAGAAAGTCGTCCTTGGGTGCTGAGTCTTGGAGCTGTTCTGATACGTCACAGTCTGTCTGTGATGAGCTCTGTGGGCAGGGCTCAGCCGGGATAGTTTCCATGAGCAGTGCTTGTTTTGGCTGCGTGGGGTTATCAGTGTCCTTGTGGGATGTGTCAACCACATGATGACTCGGAAGCTGATATGAAGTCCTGTCGTCACTCATACTCTGTCCAGGTGTGTGTGTGCCATTCAGGTTGAGTAGTTTGGCACACAATACTGAAGGATGACGGAGGGAGA